CACAATGAAGGCCTTAATTAGGAGAGAATTCCAGACCTCACGGAGCAAGGAACTTAAAGCTTGAACAAAGGAGAAACAGTGGACAGTGTCACATACTCGACTGGCCAAGAATCGAAGCCGTTGCTGAGTTTGACTGCGTTCCGGACACGATTGCTTGGCAAAACATCTTCACAGATTGGGAGTATACACTCAACCCACATGCCCTCTATGTAACCTACAGGAGGAAATGGAGAAGACCCACCTGATTCAGTGTCCAGACCTGAAGGCAACGACGGAAAGCCAGAGATACTGGGAAGCAAGAAGACAGCTAATGAATTGCTATTAATTAACTGCTATTAATGTACCCCCCCCCACCCTTGGGAGAAGCTGAAGTCAAAGATTAAGGGCTAATGATAAATATCACAAAGCCTGCCATTTGAAATAATAATAGTAATAATAACTTTCACTAGCCACTTCAAAATTTGTCCGATTCCGGAAGATTGTTGACTCCTGAAATGTTTCACCCCCATCTTCGTTCTATTGAAGCATTTACCCAATTAGGGCAGTCGTCTTCGGTTTCCTAAACCGCTTTCTACTCGAAAATTCACTTTCCTAATTTGGCATATTTTTAAACAACTTGACTCCTGAACAGCTTTATAAATGGTTTAAAATCAATAATTGTGTTTAAATGAAGTATCCCACATAAACCACTGATAAGAATGTGATAAATATTGCCCCATTGTTTAAAAAACCTTTCTTCCCTTTGTGCACTGATGGCGCACTGGCCACCATGTCTGGAGACCATGGGTTCGATTTCAATTTGCATGTACTTAATCGACTTGGTTAAGTTTGGCTAGCGTAGAGGACGGTACAGTTTGAATCCCCTCCACACATAGTTCCCATAATATCCATGGGAATCGGAAGCGCCTTCTCTAGTCCGGCTAGGGAATTTTATTGAGAGGATAAACAGTGAATCTCATTTTCTTCAGTTTACTTTTACTGTATTTTATATATGTTAATATATATATGATTTAGAGGCTTGTGACTTGGCTGCAATTCAAACCAGAAGACGTGGAGAAATCTCCTGAAGGAATATTTCGAGCGTTGTATTACTGCTTCATTACCGCCTACGGTGCCTATATTTCCTATTTCAGTGGACGCTATAACTATATCCAACAGCCGTGCGAAGTTTTTAACCTCAGTGTTACTTATGGTAAGAAATCAAGACTTTTGCCTTATTTCTAAAATCGCACAGGGCGGGGAACTCTATTTAAGAGCAAGTAGTCAGGCAAGTAGTCAATATAAAAGTTCTTATGGGTCATGCACTTTGATACTGATTCCTATTTTTCATTGAATAAATGTTCTCCATACTTTGAGTAGATATATTTAGCGGAAAATTATTTGCTTTCTGTGGTGGAATTATCTTTCACACGCTATGTCTATTAGGTGCTACGTATTGGGGCTATTATGGATAAAGCCACAGAGATGAAGAAGAAGACAATGACATCTTTTAGTGACCTAGCAGAGAGAGCGAGAGAGAGGGAGAGAGAAAGGACTACGACGCTGGGGGGTCGAAGATGCTGCTGAAGGACTTGACTGTAAGAGCCGTTTGTGGGTTTGGGAGTTAAAGAGGAGAGAACCGTGTAGATGTATGGTAGAGTACAAGGGTTGACGAAGGCCGACTATATTGCAGAAAAATGAAGAGTGACTATAACATTTTTCGGCATCGCTATTCACTAGACTATCATTGCTATAAGACCTGTCAGAAAGCAAAAAAATCCTTATTTCAAATGAGTTAATTGGGCAAGATAAAGAAGGACGTTGATAATTGAGTTTGAGAATTGGAATTGCAAAGTATTGGATTAATTAGCAATTCACTGATTCAATTTCCGATATTCATATATCGTCCTTCCTTCCATGCAATACTGTGAAAAAAACTTGACCAATTTAAATGGTCAGCCTTGCCACTTCAGTAGCGTAGGACGATATTGAATAAATTATTTTGATATATTTTTAAAACTTCGAGAAAGCATTAAAAAGATGAACTTTTAGGCTAGCATAATTTATTGGGGGTTATTGCCAATTTTCCCGATTCGAATGTGTTTTAGCGATAAAAGAACCATACTAGGCTTCATTGGCGATTAGGAAAAAAGAAAAATCAATAAAAATATTGATTTATTTACTGCAAGTTTCGAAGTCACCACAGACAAATTAAATAATTCGAAATTTTTTAAGATGGTGGATGTGATGATGATGGGGGGAGGAGGCGTGACCTTTCCCCCTATCAACCAAGAAATTGAATTGACAGATCAACAAGATTGGAGTATCAAGGAAATTACCTCAATCACGAACCTGGGGGTAAAATAATCATATTCGAACTTACCAACCAGAGTTAAGTGGTGGTTGCCCAAACTTCACTAAATGTTCCTACTTGAGGTAGTGATCTTGTCAATAGTCTAGGCATTTTTGATTTCTGCAAAAATTTGCTCACATTTGAGCACATCACGTTTCTGCGTTTTACTATAATTGCCTTGAGGTATGGGTTTTACATTTGATTGGAGCCGACATTGATGGCGATGACAGCCATTTGGTATTCTAATTGAATCACCACTGCCATAGCTTCACATTAACTTCCTATCTAGGTCTCCTTTGTACTTTACAACCTAAAAGAAATATCAAATTAAGAGAACTGGTACGCTTGTATGCCACTCCAAAATCGAGTCCCAATTTGTTGAAGTTGGAGTGCAAGAGCTCATTGATGAATACGTGTGTTTGGTTTATTTTCACTTTTAGTGGTTTTGTGCTAGCTTTATTGACCACTCCTGAATGTTTACCGATGGGCGCTTGAATTCCACCACCTTTGGAGCACGTTTGATGTCCATTAAGTTAATACATTTTAGCTACGTTCGTGGTTGTTTTTAAGCAAATTCCTTTGATGCTATGGGTAGAAGTATCTACTCTTTGTTTAGATAATTGATGAAGGATTTGTGGCTTTTCATTGTAAATATTATTTTGTTTGGGATCGAAAACTAGAAAGTGTGCATTTATTCATTTTATTTTGAAAAAATAACAGAAATACGTCTATCGGGAAAGGGCGCGCAATCAAACGTTCAGTTCAATATACGTATTCTGTTTGATATAGGATGTACAACTATTGTCATGCAGGCACTGACTGGGATATCTAGAGTAGTAAGTTCATTGTTATGTTCCAACTCCAAGAGAATTTGATCGATAGAATGTGAAGGAGCGATTGAATATGTTGATGTGGAGGTTACTGAAGTAGAAAGGTGTTCTAGAATCATAGCATCAGACAACTGATCAGGACTTGCAGTAGCCAATTATTCCAATACTTAGTAAAATGATTGACCGAATAGCGATTGTCGGAGAAATTGGAAACTTACCTGCTAATTAACATTTCTTGTAGAGAATTACTTTGAGCAAGAAATCCCGGCCGATATCCTAAGCCTCTACTGGATACAATTCAGCTACTACCTCTCGGGGGTTTACATGGAGCTATACATGGATAAGCGGAGAAACGATTCCACTATGATGTTAATCCATCACTTTGTCACTCTTCTACTTATGTACTTCTCATACATGGGACGGTAAGTTTGAAGATCCATTCTGTATAATTCTTTGATAAGATGGCGCAGAGGTCAACACATACACGCCTGCAATAGTAAAGGCCACTACTTCGACCTCCATCGGTACATATCTAGTGGAAGGCGTGGTCACTGCAGTGTGTCTGTAAATCACAACTTAGAAGTGAGGTCGGTCATTCTATTCACTGGGTTTGCATCAGCAGGCATGGAACCAGTAATCTTTGACTTTGCAAACAGCACGTAAACCACTGCATCACCATCTAAGAGGCTCTTACTCAATCCTGACCCGAAATCTACATGAATAAAGACACAAATGCTAACTCAGACATTAGCGGCAGAAAATTATAACAATTTAATTTTAATTATTAAATAAAATATGCACACGATGTATAACGTGGCTGTCAAACCTTCAGTCAGAACTATTTTGCATACCCGGTCCTGCGTTTTTAACCTGTTGTTTAAGTAATTGTGTGATGATGGTGCCTCAGTAATCATGCACCATTGATTTATTTCCTAGATACCTCAAACATGGCTGTATAATATTCTTCCTGAATGATATATCTGATGCAATTCTGGAGACGGGAAAAATTTTTCTCTACTTCAATAATCGAGGTGGAGTAATACGAAAAAAAGGAGAACTTGCATGCAGTGCTGTTTTCTTCTTCTTTACCATAACTTGGTGAGTTCAATGGAAAATGGATTTCAATATACTAGATAGTGGTAATATTTGGAATGTCAATCAAAAAATTCTAGAAGTCCATTTACGCAATACCTTAGTTTCAGACGGAGACCTAACCGATGATCCAATTATAAAGAAGGCTCCAATCTTTAAAAACTGCTTCAAATGAATGGGAATGATTGGCATCCTTGTTAGCTTATGACGTTTTAATTACGAGGTTTCATGCCAAAGCATGAAAGTGAAAGAATATTACTCGAATATTCAAGCGTTTGAGGGACAATTCTGTTTTTAGTAAAGTGATAATAGCTGAGGTGGCATAATGTCGCCTTTATTCTATTACATAAAAGAGTCTTCAAGACTGATTACAATTTTTTTGGTCCCTCGAGTAGTCTTACTAAGTCTTCTAATTTTCTAGTAATTGACTGGGATCTACAGAGACTACTGCCGGTGGAGACTTCAAGGTGCGTTTGAATAAGACTATTCATTTCAAGAAAAATGGAGATGGCTGAGGTTGAAATCAGCGTAGATGGTATTTAGAAGCGATTGCGTGATAAAAAGACGCCAGTACGCCGTCACAACCACAAAGGTTACATTGGCATTCACGTTAGGGTGTCCTCTATGTAGTATTGATTAGTATGGGATCATCAAGGTCATAGCCGAAATATAAAAATAGTTGGAAACCACTGCACACGTTTCTACTGTGTAATTGGTAGCAGATTAACTTAATTACTTCGTCGGCCCCCATCGGAAAGAACTTTCCGGCAGGAACGTAAAGTTCGGGCAAATGAGAAGCTGAGACCCAAAATAAACTCAGCCACACTTCTGTGCTGAATACGATGCTGCTTTGTTCACCTTCTCTTCGGGCTTTTTGGAATGCCATTTTTGTTATCTTTCAATAAATTCTTATTTGAACCACACTTTCTGCATACAAAATCGGACCTAGTATACATAAATGTAACGAAATTGGTATGTCAATTAACTTATATACTTTTCATATATTTGATTAACTATTCGATTATCATTCGCACAAATTTATTAATTTGAAATTCAAACTGCCGATGATGCTATTCCTATTGGTTTACTTGGTACTACAAAATAATTCGATTAGTTGGCGTGTTGGGGGGGGGGGGGGGACCTTCAAATAGAATTCTGAACACCATAAGCATTAGACCACTTCTAAATTTGAGATTCATCAATGTTCCCACTTTTATCAATAGGCATAGGTTGTCTTTGTCATATCCTAATTTTTAAAGCTCAAAGTCTGACCATTTTAGGCACCTGTGAATTCGGACTGCGATAATTGAGCTGAATTAATTAATTTGACTGTCATTCCATTTCAATAACATTTGGCCCAATCATGCCTGCTTTTAAGACTACAACGTCACAATGAATAGGCAGGTAGCCTAATAAAACTATATTGCAGAAAATAATATATAGAATTTCATTTCTATTTAGGTTCCATTTTCGACTGTACCTTTTCTGCGTACGACTTCTTCACTCCTCCAATTGGTGCGCCTACATTTATAGAAAAATTTGGCGACCGCGTCTTTATCTTCTCTTCAATTCCCTTCTTTGGGCTCTCTACATAATGCAGATAGTTTGGAGTTATGTAAGTTGGGAATACTAACTACGAATGATATTGCTACAATCCATGTTCAAATTCCATTAAACTAGGCAGAAACTTTAAAGGCAAGTTAATACAGTTTTTCTCCAAGCTTAATAACTAATATTGGAGTAATATTAAAGAGATGTGAATAGGATTAAGGAACAAAAAATCTATCGAAGCAAAAAACATCAAAATTAAGAAATGATCACATTTCAATTGAAATCATCTAAACTCACTTTCACTTGCTTCCTGCAAAAGGAAATTAAATTTAAAAATTTCACAATTTACGTCAAAATGGGAATTACTCAAGATACTTGAACTACAAATAATTTCCCAGCACGTTTATTCGATTACAAAACATATTCGATTTAAGGCTTATTTTTTAATCAACTTGAGATATATAGCGTAAAAAACAAAAAAAATTACATTTAAACTTTTCGGCAACAGTGGCGTCCAATAAATTTTAAATGTGTTTATTTATGCTGTTGTTTTATGCTGACTAAAGCAAAATGTGGCTGACAACTGACGCATGTAACTGATAAAAGTGGATATGGGTGCACGATTTGTAATATTCCTGTTGTATAATCTATACTGACAGTCAAAGAAACTATTCAACCTTGAACAAGATGAATCACAAGACTTCAAATTCTCAACTAAAGGTTTCAATCTTTCTGATTTTTTAAACATTACGTAGTGCATAAAAAGTTCCTAGCAGGGAAAGTAGAACATATTAAGAAAGGGGATTACTGTAATTTGTAAAAGGTACAGATTGATAAAAATGAAAATCGTATGAAAGTGATAATTATAAAAATGGAGAAAGTTGTAAAAATGAGGGAAATAAATAGATTGTATCCATTTTAATATGCAAGGTGTAATTTGTCTGTATTACTTTACATTATTTTGTGAGATATTTATAAGTTGCTTCCTAAATTTGTTTTAAAAATATTTTACCCTATTTATTCTATTATGTGCATTTACCTAAAAATAAAAAATCTTTTATCGTTTTATAGTACATTATCAAAACTTGTGTGAGACTTATTACTGGAAAAGACCAACATTTGGCAGACATAAGAGAAAACGGAATAAAAGAAAATGGAACAAAACTGCATACGAATGGATTTGCGATAAANGAAAAAAAATAACTTTTCAGTTCTAGTTTACATACTCCAATATTTCTCTTCTAAGTATGTATTTATATAACTTCAGTAATTTGATGAAGAGACTATTTGTCTGAATGCATATACCTATACAAATACACTTTTCTCTGACTCGTTTTCTTAATAACACATCGATTTCCTTCTGATGAAGTAAATGATTACACCAACTTATTAATTTTATTGTACCAGTAAATAAAAGAAAATTAACAATGACATCATGTTCCATTTAATTCACTAACTGGCTTAACTTTTTATGACATATGCTACCTATCAATATGTTGTATTTCTCGACAGCAAAACAAATAAGTGCGATGATACCAATACGCGATCTTCACAGCTTGAGGCCCAGAGGAGAAAATAATCCAATGATTATGCGAAAACAATGAAGAAATGACTTTGTAGAGCACTTTAAAATGTTCATAGATACAACTTGATAGCTCTGATAATCGAAGTATGCGCATTTCTAAGCTTATTCTGAACAATGTAGTTGTGAATGTTTGACCTGAATTTGAATTTTATTTGCACTATCACTCATTTTTAATTATCTCAATTCCTTCATTATTATATTTATAAATTGATAAAATAGTTTTTAAGAAAATTAATACGTATATTTATTTGATAATACTTCCGTTCGTTTTATACCGTGTCTCTGCTTAGAATTAAAATGTTCGTTTTTGGAGAAAAAGATTCACGGTATTCCACAAAACTGATTGTTTCTACTTGGAATGAGCCATATTACACCAGGTTTACAAAAGACTATTGATTATAGAGATAGATGTGAACAGATAACTCAAGAACCATTTCACAATTTCATGTCTTACTTACATTCAATAAGATATCATAAAATTATTTGAATAAATTCAATTGTAATCTATTAAAAGAAGAAAGAAATAGACTGTTACTTAGCTAAAATTTTATAGAGTTAGTAAAAGTTCGAAATTACACATTTAATTGAATACCAAAAAATTGTCATCGTGTTTAAATTACAAGCTACATTAATAATATAACAAAAGATTTCTCATATATGTAACAATAAATAGAGGGAATACATTCTTAATTCTTGATTAATTTTTAAGCTGTCTTGATTCATCGCACCTATTTGAACCGCAATATTTGTTGAAATGATTCGTTGTCCATTTCACTCATTGACATTTGCTCAGTACATCAAGGTCGCGCGTGATATAACTTCTAGTTTTGCCTCAAGCGTGTTTATGAATGCAAAAATGGAACGAGTTATTCGCTTGCCCTCGACTGTAAAACCTATTAATTATAAACTGGACTTTGTTCCAGACTTCACAAAGTTTATTTTCTACGGACATGAACAAGTTATGCTAGAGGTAATCATTATAATTTCTCCATTGTTTATATTTCGCCTACTTTTAGGTTCTGGAACCAGCAAACCACATATTATTTCATGCAAAAGGACTTGATGTCCAAGCTGTCGAATTTGAAGGAAGTGGGTTATCTTAATTTTTATCTTAGTAATTTCAGTTCCCGGCATCGCTCAAGTTANTAACGATCAGGAATTGGCTCGTTTCAATTTTCCATCTGGTGTTCCCACTGGAAAAGGAATCTTAAAGTTTAATTTTAAAGGGAAATTTAGTGATGATATGCTGGGTCTCTACCGTAGTACTTATAAGGATGAAAGTGGCAATGAAATGAATATTCTCGCAACTCAATTTGAGGTAATTTACTACCTTCTACTAAAATTATTTTGTAATTTAAAGTCCGTTTTTGCTCGTCGAGCATTTCCTTGCATGGATGAGCCTGATAGAAAAGCAACTTTTGACATAAGTATTACTGCTTTGGATAGCAAAACGGCGCTCTCTAACATGGTTCGTATTTTAATTTCTATTTATTATCGTTTGTTCTTATAACTGCTATCATCTTTTCGTTCATTATAGCCTGAGATTTCCCGTGAGATTGTGCCAACCCCTCAAGGTCTTGTTGAACCCCCAGATGGGCGCAACTACGTTAAGATCACATTTGATCGTACTCCTTACATGTCGACATATTTGGTTGCTATGGTAGTTGGAGATTTTGAGTATATCTCTTCCAAAGTTCCAACAGTTAAGGCAGCACATCAAGTTAATGGAGAGAAGGAAAATGAAATTGATGTTAGGGTCTACACTCCCCTAGGGAAAAGAGATTTCGGTCAGCATGCTCTTTCCGTGGTAATCAAGACTTTGCCCTTCTATGCCGAGTTGTTTGGAGCAGCATATCCTCTTCCTAAACTCGATTTAATCGCAATCCCTGACTTCGGTTGTGGAGCTATGGAAAATTGGGGCTTGGTAACTTATCGGTATGTTATTGAGGTCCTGTTATACATGAGTTTATCTCTTTTAAATTTCGATTGCGAATAATGGCTCTCTCTGTGCATCATGGTATTATTTTGATATGAAATTCTTCCTAATCCTCCTTTTCCTCACTTTTTAATTTAATTTCTCCAAATTTCATTGATTTGTCAGTTTGTTTACTAGATTTTATGAGCTTGAGGTGTACATCCTCTGTCAGCTTCTCGAACGACTAATGTTAATGAACTGATTTGGAATTTTTGTTCGTCTGAATATCATTTAAGTTGTTTAAGTTCTAACTTGAAATTTCCGATTTACGTTGATTTAAGCTTTGTTGCGCTGATCTTCTTCACGGCTTTAGATCGTATGAGCAAAAATAATCTGCCATCCTAACCAATTATAGTTTGAAAATCTCCATTAAAGTTATTGGTATTTTTAAAATTTAATTTGAAGAGTCAGCTTATCCTAAATTCAGAAGGCCAAAATTTGCTTGGACATGGCTTTTATGTTACACCATTAAGGAATGTGAAAGAAATTGGCTGTGCTTTAATTAAAACCGAACAATTAGGGTAGTACGGACTTTGGTCTATGGAAGCGTATTATATGTTACAATATCAGCAGATTTGTCTTTATTTGTTCATGATTATGTGTTCTATATCCTTGGAATGTCCTTTTAACGGTGCTACCTACTTCTGGTTTTATGGGAAGTACACCATTTGGCTCATTGAATACCGGTCTAACTTATGATTTACTCGAACTTGATACAAGTATTGGGTTTTCGGTTTTGTATCGCAGTGTTCATAGGTATTACCCTCATTATTTGCACAATCAAGGCATATTTAATATATTTTGTACCGATTCCATCTGCTATTTTAACTTTTATGTGCCCAAGCTGAATCCAATTTCTAATTTAATCAACTTGTTGTTACCTATGCTATGTTGTTGATATTAATAATTTTGTAGTCAATTTAATGGTTACTGAAGTTCTCCTTTAATTAGTACTCTAATCATCGTTTTCCTTTAAGTGAAACCTCATTGCTGATTGATCCCCTCAATTCCTCCCTGCGTTCCAAGCAACTGGTCGCTTTAACAGTTTCTCATGAAGTGGCTCATATGTGGTTCGGCAACCTAGTAACCATGTCTTGGTGGACAGATCTCTGGCTCAATGAGGGTTTTGCCACATGGATCGAGAATTTGGCCACCGATTACTGTTTCCCCGAATATGACATTTGGGTAGAATATTTATTTTCTGCTTCAATAGTATGACTCACTTCACAGTATATGCATATTCTCTTTCTTTGGACTGTAGACATCCTTTGTGGCAGATGATTACATTCGTGCTTTGCGTTTGGATGAACTCAGAAGCAGCCATCCCATTGAGGTTTATTAGTTTGTTTAAACTACTTAACTTTGAATTAGTAGCTGTGCTGATCTGATTTGTATGCTTTGTTTTATATGCAGGTCGAGATTGTAGCAGCTCATGATGTGGAAGAAATTTTCGATGCCGTGTCATATCAGAAGGGTTGTTGTGTTATTCGTATGCTCCAGAACTATATGGGCTTTGAAGTGAGCTGATGATCAAACTTTTGTTTCCCAGCATCAAAGGGACTGTACCGTAAAACTTTCCATCTTTTCTTTCCTCAGAAATTCCAAGCTGGTCTTCGTATTTGAAGTGAGCTGATGATCAAACTTTTGTTTCCCAGCATCAAAGGGACTGTACCGTAAAACTTTCCATCTTTTCTTTCCTCAGAAATTCCAAGCTGGTCTTCGTAGTTATATCCAGCAGTACAAGTACTCCAATGCTAGCACCCAAGACCTTTGGACTGCCTTAGAGACACATGGTGTCTCGAAGATTAGTGAATTTATGTCCATTTGGACTAAGCAGACAGGTTATCCAGTTGTGTGTGTTCGGTTGATCAAGTCTCCCGATGGGGATGCATATTCAATTGGAGTGAAGCAAAAACGATTTTTGGCTGACGGAAGTTCTGTAAATGGTAAGTTGTTTATTTACTGATATCAATTCCTAAATTGAGTGGTGTGGAATGTTCGGGAGTGAGTGGGTTGGCTATTTTGAAGCAAATGAGACAAGAGTGTGTATAGAAAGTTCATTGGAAGATTTAGTAATAGCTTGTATTGAGTGACTATTCTTCAGACTATGCCTTCTACCATCTGATCTTCGCCACAATAGAAGGATCGTGGAGGAAAGCAGCTGTTGTCATACTGTTTTGTAAAAGAAGGAGACTAGAGGCAAAGGCTACAACTGATACTCCAGTATTATTTGCGCCTTCACAGAGGCAGTTAATTTCTACAAACGCCCGATCACGTTGACTCAATGAAAATGTCGAGTTTCTTATACGCAATATTTCCTAATTAAATTTATATCATTTGATCTCTGTTCATCTGTGGGTCACATCGATTCTCACTTAATGAACTGATTATCGAGCTGACTTACTGTATTATAATGCAGAAGTTGACCTACCCTTAAATATTTGTGCATCAGGACCTGTGGTAATAATTTTGTGAATATAAACGAAGTTTATTGGAACTGCATACTTTTAGGCCTACACATAAGGTGCATCTTCTTCGTAACCAACTAAGAATAAAGATGAGTCAATGCATTGTTTCAATAAAAATACAGTTATATGATGAGTTCAATGGAGGTGAAGCAGCATTTCTGCAATCCTCTACCCCGAGGAAGTGTCCTGCTGTTGAACCTACATCCTGATCTACCCAATAGCTTCATCGATTTCCTATTAGTTTAGTGATCGTTAAATTGTGAGCAGGCTAGTAATATGAGATTAATTATTAATATTGATAGTAGGTGCTATAGGTGGCAGTAGTCCATTAGTCTAATTAAATATTTACGAAGAACTGCTTGAGAGAATGACTAAGTAATTTGGGCTACGTGGGCTACCCTTTACAGACAAACCGCCACTTTGATCTGTGATGATAGGCGCTCTTATCCGTTCCTTGCAGATTATGGATCTATTGTAGTAGGTTTCTATAGACACTTGGGTGGGGTGCTGTTATCGAGACTAGTTCTTTCAAGTCACCATCTGTTTGCTGACGTCTGTGTTGTTTACTGCAATTTTACCATTTCCATTTTTGATTATCTGAAATCTCTCCGTAACCGAGTTGAACAATTTGGAA